AGTTTTCTTTATCTTTATTCTTTTCTTTCTTTCTTCTTCCTTTTTTTTTTTTTGTTGGGGAGTTGCCACACCGCAGTCCTCTCCTTCATTCATTCTCCTGTCAGGATTTTGGGCACGCATGCACACACCTGGCATGAGTTTTAAACCTCTAAGTCTGGGACTTGAACTGTGGGGTTGGCCATGTGGGAGTCCAGCGATGTAACCATTATACCACCTGCTGGTCCCTAGGCCCTCTTTTATAAACCCGTGTTTGTCTGTTTTTTTCTTTGTGAACTCTCCTCAGAAGAGAGACACTCTCCCTCTCCTTCTTCCCTTTCGTTTCTCTGTCCTCTTTCTCACATACTATACACATAGTGTTCCATGATGGAAGCACTGGAATTACAGGCTTGGCAGCCACAGTGACACAGCTGAAACTTAGCTCTGTGACACTGAAGCCACAAGGAAAGTCCTGGGTTTGCATCCTGAGGTCTCCCTGTTCACACTGAGCACACAAATGTACTGGAGGCCTTGGGTGACTGAGGCTGGGGAAGACTGTGGCATGAACACCCTGTTGTGGGTGTGCCTGCCTCCCGTCTTGAAATAAATAAAATTTAAACAAATAATCAAGAAGCACAGGCTTGAGAATGGCAAGATATTTAAACTTTTTTGTTTTTTTAGAGAGAGATATTTGCTATAGGGCACGTAAGCTCACCAGAGAGGAATCAGAAAGCAAGAGATCACCCCCCCCAAGGTGTGTGGCCATGCCAAAAAACTTTCCCTTCTATTCTTCTCTTGGGATTTTGGGCACTCACACTCACATGCCCAGCCTGAGTTTAGGTCGCTGGGTCCGGGACTCAAACTGTGGTCAACTATGTGAGAGTCCACCAACACAACCATTATGCCATCTGCTGGTCCTGATATTTAAACTTTATATACCTCATTTTCTCATCTGTAAAATGGGGATATAAAAATAGATGTCTTTGGCACCAGGAGATGATGTAATGGTTATGTCACTGGACTGCCACGTAGTCAACTACAGTTAGAGTCACAGACCTGGTGGCTTAAAACTCACACCAGGCACATGTGCGTGTATACCCAAAATCCCAAGGGGAGGATGGAGGAGAAGGGGTTGTGGTGTGGCCATCCCTTCTAGGGGGTGATTTCTCACTTTCTGTCTCTCTGGCAAGGTCATGTGCCCTATAGCAAAAATCTCTCTCTAAAAAAAAAAACGAAAAAAAAAGAAAAAAAAAAAAAAGAAATATACATGTCTCAGGACCAGCAAGTGGTGGTGGTTAAAGTGCAAGACTTCCACGTGGCCACCTGCAGTTCGAGTCCCAGTCCTGACAACTTGAAAATCACAGCCTGGGAACCAGCAGATGGTTATGTTGCTGGAATCCCAAGTGGCCAACTACAATTTGAGTCCCAGACCAGAGGCTTGTAACTCACACTGGGCATGTGTGCATGCATGTTCAAAATTCCAAGAGGAGAATAGAGGAGAAGGATTTGTGGCATGCCCATCCTTCATGGGGGGTGATGTCTTGCTTTCTGCATCTCCATCTCTTTCTGTCTCTCCATCTCTTTCTGTCTCTCCATCTCTTTCTGTCTCACACGCCCTATAGCAAAAATCTCACTCTAAAAAAGAAAAGGAAGGAAAATCACGACGTGTGTGTGTGTGTGTGTGTGTGTGTGTGTGTGTGCCCAAAGTCCCTAGAGACGAATGGTGAAGAGATTGTGCATTCCCCTAATGGGTGATTTCTCACTTTCTATCTCTGTGTGTCTCTCTTTGGTGATGGCATAGGCCCTATGGCAAAACCTGAAAAACAAAACAAAACCAAAAAACCTGTCTTATAAGTTTGTTGGGATTAAATGGGTAAACACTGGGGAAAATGCCTGACATACACTAAATATTCAATAAGTGTGGTGGTGGTTGTTATTATTCTAGGCCAGCTGACCAATTGTGGAATAATTTATTTGTACTTCATAGGACATTGATAATGGTCTGCCGACCTTGGAAACTCTGCCTCCAATATTTAAGTTATACTACTTTGGTTTCTAGGACTAATCAAAGTGTAAACTAGAGGGACTAGCAAGTGGCATGGTCGTTCAGGCACTGGATTCCCACATGATCGACCACAGGTCAATTCCTGGACCTGGTGGCTTGGTTTCTCACTTTATCTCTCTGTCTCTGTCTCTGTTTCTTTCTGGTGAGCACATGTGTCCTATAGCAATTTTAAAAATAATAACTGTAATTAATAAAACTAGATCTGTTCCAGCAAAGGACCTTGCCATAGGGCAGGCCACTTGCAACTGGAAAGCTGTGTGGCAGGGACCCATGGCTCATGCCCTTCCCCATTCACCTTTGAACTCTCAGGTATGTTGATAGGGACTTTGAGAAGACCTTGTATTCCTCCCTGCCCCATCCAGACATCTGTACCAGCACAGGGAGACTGAGCTTCAAAGAGTCTATGGCTTATCCCCTTCTACAAGCCTCTGCATTCTAAGACCTTAGCATTTTCCGAAGTGCCTGGCCTGTGCTGCATGCCACACAATCCTCTCTATCTTCCTTATTTAAAGCTCAGCAGCTCAGTCCTAGGTACACCTGTTCTCTAGAACTTGGGAGGACTTTGAATCATCCAAGACCAGTGACAACAGTGCAGGTTGCTGGTGAGCATCAGGGAGGTAGAGCAGCAGAGAGATTGCCAATCACCTACTCCCACATGCCTTTGAATGCTCAGAATTTACTCAAGAATTTAGAAAGGAACATATAAATCACCAGATGAGTAGAAACCATCACAGAGGCACAAGAGACCATCACAGAGGTACAAGAAATATGAGCAACCAAGAAAATGTCTCTCCCACAAGGGAAAACATCAATTCCTCATCATCCACAGACAACACAATGGAACTTGTAGAAATGTCAGATAAACAATTCAGAATATTTATAGTGACAAAACTAAATGAGATGCAAGAGAAAAGAGATAGCGAACTCCAGGAGATGAGGAAGTCCTTTCAAAATTTGAAAGAAGAAATAGACACCATAAAAAAGAATCAAACAGAATTGTTAGAGTTAAGGACTGTGATACAGGAAATTAAAACCTCCTTTGAAGCTATTAAAAGCAGATTAGATCACACGGGATATGGAATCTTGAATGTAGAAGACAAAACTTCTGACCTAGAAAGAATTATCAAAAAGACTGAGAAAATAACCAAGAAAAATAAGGACAATATATGAAAAATGCTAGGTACCATTAAGTGGCCAAATATTTGGATAATTGGTATCCTAGAAGGTGAAAATAGTAAGGGCATTGTTAATCCATTCCATGAAATCTTGGAAGAAAACTTTCCAGACCTAGAGAGGTGTTCAAGTATCAGACCCAAGAAATACAAAGGACCCCAAATAAAATCAACCCAATTATGTCTTCTCCAAGGCACATCATAGCCAGATTGACCAAAACCACAGACAAATACAAGATATTAAAATTGGCAAGAGGGAAACATCAAGTTACTTACAAAGATTATCCCATCAAGTTAACATTGGTCCTCTCATTGGAAACAATGCAGCAAGGAAGGAATGGGGAAATATAATCAAAGTGTTAAATGAAAAACAATTTTGGGACCAGCAGTTAGCGTAATGGCTATGTTACTGAACTCCCATGTAGGTGACTACAGTTCAAATCCTCGACCCAGTGGCTTAAACTCACCCCAGGCATGTGTGTGTGCGTGCCCAGGATCCCGAGAGGAGAATGGAGAAGGGATTGTGGCATGGCCATCCCCTCTGTGGGGTGATTTTTTGCTTTTTGTCTCTGTTTCTGTCTCTGTTTCTCTGGCGAGTGCACGTGCCCTGTAGCAAAAACTTCTCCTCCCCCCCAAAAAAATTTCATCCAAGATTACTCTAATAGGCAAGATTATTCTTCATATGGGAAGAAAATATAAAAACATTCTCAGATAAACACAACCTGAAAGAATTTACTAACTCCAGATTAGCTCTTCAAGACGTTCTGAAGGGAGTACTATACCAGGAAGACTAAAGTGACAGATAAAAGAGAACAAAAACAACCAAGAAAAGGGCTCACTTAATGGTAGGAGGCTCACTTAATGGTAGGAACATGTCTGGAAATATTGATAAAAATATTGAATGTTAATGGATTAAATTATCTGATCAAGAGACACAGACTGGCTGAATGGATTGAAAAACAGAAACTCTCTATCTGTTGCCTACAAGAAACACACCTTATAGATAAAGACATACATAGACTAAAAGTGAAGGGCTGAAGAAAGGTATTCCAAGCAAATGGAAATCAAAAAAGGGCTGAAGTCATGATACTGCTTTCAGACAAAATAGGCTTTAAGACAAAAACTCTTAAGACGAGACAAAAGGCATTATATAGTAGTAAAAGGGTTAATTCATCAAGAAAACATAACACTTATAATTATCTGTGCACCCAACTCAGGAGCACCTAAATACGTAAAGGAAAGACTGCTAGAGCAAAAAGGAGAGATAGTTTGCAACACTATAATTGTCAGGGATCTCAACACCCCATTATCTCCTTTAGACAGATCTTCTAGACAAAAAATAAGCAGAGAGCTACTGGACATAAACAATACTGTAAATCAAATGGACTTGACAGACATCTATAGAATTTTCCACCCTAAGACTACAAAATATACATTTTTCTCACCCCTGCATAGAACTTTTTCAAAGATTGACCATATGATAGGACACAATTCCTTTACAGATTCAAAGGAATAGAAACTATATCCAGCATCTTCTCTGACCATGATGGAATTAAACTTGATATTAATTTCAGGAAAAATCCTCAAAAATAAACACATGGAAGCTGAACAACCTCCTTCCGAATGATTTATCAACTATTGAAGAAATTAAGTCTGAAATCAAAAGATTTATAGAGACAAATAATAATAAGTACACGAGTTTCTGTAATCTATGGGATGCAGAAAAGCAGTCATAAGAGGGAAATTCATAGCAATTAGTGTGCATAAGAAAAAGATAGAGATCCAAGATGGCACCCCCAAGAGCTAGGAGCAGGTGACCGGTGGTGGGGAAGCAGCCTGGGTTGGCCCTCAGATTGCGGGGTCCCAGGGGCATCTCACTGGGCACCCCTTGGCCCATTCACAAGGCCTTTCTGGGACCAGAGCAAATGCCACCGAGATCAGGAAGCAGTTTTGGAAGAGGAGCACCAAGCTGCCAGGGAGCATCCAGCCTGTGTATGGAGTACAGCACCTTCCTCTGGACCCTCAGCTCATCAAAAATTTCATTAAAAAATGGTCAAACGTTAACACAGTTCTGAAAAATAAAGCCTCCAGTTTTCTTGAGTTTGCCCAGAATACCGGTGATACATGGGACATTGACAATGATGAGGAAGAGGACTTTTCCACACCTTCTTTCCAAACTCTGACCTCAAAAGTTGCTTTGGCAACTGCAGCTCAAGTCCTAGAAAACCACAGCAAGCTGAGGGTAAAGCCAGACGGTCCCAGTTGACAACGTTCAACATTCCTGCCAACTACAAAATCATAAAGTTCAGCAGTGATGTCCAGCTATGCAGAAACTCCAATGACACATGCCTGAGGAACCCACTCCACAAATAGCAGGCACTCCCTCTCCAATACATCGTCCCTCTCGTTGCCCAGATCTCAGACCAGAACACTTCTGAAACCCTCCTCCCAACCCCCCACAACTGTCTGGGAGAAAATCTACCTAGAAAAATTCAGTCAGCTTCTCTCCAGCCACAATACTGACTTGGATGAGCTGCGGAAGTATAGCTGGCCAGGGGTTTGCAGGGAGGTTCCACCTGTAACCTGGAGACTCCTGTTGGGCCATCTCCCAGCAAACACCGAGAGGAGGAAGTTGACCTTGCAGAGGAAGCAGGAGGAATATTTTGGCTTCATTGAACAGTATTATGACTCTCTAAATGAGAACCATCATCAGGATACCTGCAGACAGATTCCCATTGACATTCCAAGGACAAATCCTCTTATTCCGTTGTTCCAGCAACCACTTGTACAGATCTTTGAAAGAATTCTATTTATTTGGGCCATCTGACACCCTGCCAGAGGGTATGTCCAGGGAATTAATGACCCGGTCACTTCATTGTTTATTGTCTTCCTCTCAGAATATGTGGAAAAGGATGTGGAAAACTTGGATGTGACCAACCTGTCTCAGGACATTCTGCGAAGCATTGAAGCTGACAGCTTTTGGTGCATGAGCAAGCTGCTGGATGGGATCCAGGTAAACTACACTTTTGCACAGCCAGGGATCCAGAAGAAGTTCAAGGCACTGGAGGAGCTTGTTAGCCAGATTGACAGGCAGGTCCATAATCACTTCAGAAGGTACAAGGTTGAATACCTACACTTTGCCTTTTGTTGGATGAACAACCTGCTCATGTGGGACCTTCTTCCTTGCTACAACTTCCGCCTGTGGGACACCTACCAATCTGAACCTGAAGGATTCTCCCACTTTCATCTCTACATGTGTGCAGTCTTGATTAAGTGGAGGAAAGAGATCTTAGATGAAGAGGGCTTTCAGGGTCTCCTCATGCTGTTACAGAACCTACCTACTATATACTGGGGCAACAAGGAGATCGGGCTGCTGCTCGCTGAGGCCTACAGACTCAAGTACATGTTTGCCGATGCCCCCAGTCACCACCATCAATAGGTGCTGTCTACCCCTGGGGACCCAGACTGCCCCCACTTCTGATGGCCATCTGATCACTGTGGCCACTGTACAAGCCATGGACCCTGGCCAGGAACTACTCCTGCTGAGAAAAGTTCACACTTGCTGCCCAGGTCTTAACTCTTTGGCATCCACCACTCCATATCTCTGGATGTGTCTCTGGGACCACTGTCAGTCTTCTATGTCACGTGGATGGGCCCAGCTCCGGGAGAAGGAGGTACAGTGTTGTCTGCCTCTTTAAAAGAAACTGGACAAAAGAAGGGGAAGGCACAGGGCCTGAATTTCCATTGTCCCTACGTGGACTTACTGTCTCTTGCCTCCAAGTCCCAGCTGATGCTGTTGCTTTCCGTGACATAGTTTAATTTGATCACAGGTCAGAAACATCAATTCAATACTCCTGGTTTCTTTGCTCTCTCCCTATCCTAGCCCTTCCCCTCCTGCCTTTGTCTGAACCAGGGAGGGGCTGCGTTGGAGAACCTTAGTCCTCAGATGAAGGAGGCACTGATGCTTATAACTGGGAGGAGGCCAACACCCAAGGGCTAGGAATTCTGTTTTATTTTTCTCACTAGGTGTGTGTGTGTGTTTGGGTGTGTATGTGTGTCTACATGACCATCAGCATTTAGCCACATGTCTGAATCTCTGAGTCCAGACTAGTCCCATCAGAACCTGCTGGGAAGGGCAAGGACCCCAGTGACCAAGTGTGTAAGCATCTCTTGAGAAGGATCAGGGCAGGGGAGGGCTTTTTACCTCTCCAAATCCCTTTTCCATGATGACCTACTCCAAGATATTATGTGTAAATTTTGTTCTTATGCATATGGGTAGAGATGTACAAATGCATGTGCTCTTTGTAGCAGATATAATTTTATATTTATAATGTGCATCAACCTGTGAAAGCAATCTAGGTCACTAGCACAGATGAAATTGTCAGACAGGTGGCTTCAGCACCTCTAGTTGGTTTCTGGGTGTCCTGCCATGAGGGAAATGGAGTGGTGTCTGATCAAGTGAGCATGGCCAGGCAGGCACAGCCTCCTTGAGATGCAGAGGCAGCCTTCCCCAGCATCAGTGTGCACTTTTTTCTCTCCCCTTCTCTCCCTTCACTCCTCCCAGGCCTTCCGGAGCATCTACCCCATCCTTCCTCCTCTACACCCTTGGCAGCCTCCCCAAGAAGGTACTGAAAGGTAGAAGCACATTTTACGTGTTTTTAGGCCCTGCGGTTCCCCTGAATCTGGAGAAGGCTTTTGTTTTTAAATTTCTAAGTCAGTATTGTATTCAGGACAAGCTTTGACTGACTAGTCAGTGCCAAGGAAAGGTCCTCAGTTTGGGGGCTCTTCTCAGCATTCGGTGTCCCTCCTGTCACCGTCCCACCCCGCGCAGCTCCTGTGCTGTGTGGCCCACATTTGACTGGGTTTGGTGGTGGAGAACTGGGGGGACAGGACCAGCAGTGTCATCCTTATGGGAAGCCAAGCAGTCCCCAGTGGGTGATACCCTTGAGTCTCCTTGACAGTGAGGCCCCATGGCACCACACCCAGCCATGAGTTAGGCTTCTCACCTGGAGCCCTCCTTCAACCAGACTAACAGTTATGGGGCTGGCAGGCTCACTGTCTCTGTCTGGTCAAAATAATAAAATAATAACAACAAATGGAATTAATTAAACAAATAATCCTTTAAAAAAAAAAAGACACTTGTATTCCCAAGTGTGGTTTTATTTTTTTAGTTTTTATGTTTGTATGGGAAATTGTGGGTAAAGTGAAAGAATTGTAAATAGTGTTATTTCTTCCTCAAAAAAAAAAAAAGAAAAGAAAAGAGAAAAAAAGATGTAAAGGTGGCAAGTAGACAACCTAACATTATCCTCAGGGAATTGGAAAAATAACAAACAATCAAACAAACAAAATGCCAGGAGAAAAGAAATAATAAAGATCTGAGCAGAAATAAATTAAATAGAAAATAAATTAACTATACAGAAAATAAACAAAAGCAAAAGCTGGTTTTTTGAAAAGATTAACAAGATCGACACACCATTAGCTAGACTGATTAAGGAGAAAGAAAAAAAAACCCACAGGTAAATCAAATATGTAATGAAACAGGCAATATTAAAACAGACACAATAGAAATACAAAACTTCATTAGATGATACTATGACTGACTATATGCCAACAAACAAGAGAACGTGGAGGACATGGACAAATTCCTGGATGGATATAATCCACCAAAATTGAATCGGGAGGACATAGAAAGCCTAAATAGACCCATAACAAGCCAGGAGATTAAGTCAGTAATTACTTCCCAACAAAGAAAAGCCCAGGTCCTGATGGCTTCACTTCTGAATTCTACAAAACTTTTAAAGAAGAGTTAACCCCATTCTACTTAAATTATTTCTAAAGTTCCAAAAGGAAGGAAGCCTCTCAAATTCATTTTATGGGGGCGCCCGGCGGAAGCCGCGCGGG